CCCAAAGAACTCGTCCTATTGCAGAGACACTTGTAGATCCATGTTTGTTGCTGCTCTTTTCACAATAGCTAAGAGATGGAAGCAACCTAGGTGTCCCTCAATTGATGAGTGGATAATGAAAATGTGGTTCATATATACGATGGAGTTTTATTCAGCAGTAAAGAAAGATGAAATCATGAAATTTGCAGGTAAATGGCTGGAACTAGAAACTGTTATACTAAGTGAAGTAACACAGACTCAGAAAAAAAAAATGGCGTATGTTCTCCCTCATATGTGGATCCTAGAACCAAATCCTTATAAGTGAATCCACACATAACTACAGGAACTGGGATAATGAAGAAGAACCAAGGAAGTAAAGGAAAAGAATCTGAAAGAGAATAACAGTAGAAAACAGGTGTTAATAAGGGAGATATGGATATAAATGGGATTTTAAGGGGAGGGGGGAGGATGGGTTATACAAGGAACCTTGGGGATAGAGGGAAAGGAGCTCATTAGAGGTGGGACCTAGAAGGGTATTATTAAGGGAGAAATGGGGAAAATGGGGGAACTTTAAATGGGGAAACCACAGTGGAAGGGTTAGACAATGCCAGAGATAAATAATGCCTAGCTAGTTTTGAAAAACCAGAGGGGCACCTGGAGAGATGGCTCTGGGTTATACAAGGAACCTTGGGGATAGAGGGAAAGGAGCTCATTAGAGGTGGGACCTAGAAGGGTATTATTAAGGGAGAAATGGGGAAAATGGGGGAACTTTAAATGGGGAAACCACAGTGGAAGGGTTAGACAATGCCAGAGATAAATAATGCCTAGCTAGTTTTGAAAAACCAGAGGGGCACCTGGAGAGATGGCTCAGAGGTTAAGAACATTGACTGTTCTTGCACAAGACCTTGATTCGAATCCCAGCACCCACATGGCAGCTACAACTGTTGGTAACTCCAGTTCTAGGGGATCTGACAGCCTCTTCTGCCCTCCGTGGACACTGTATGACATGGGTGCACTTACCTACATGCAGGCACAACACTCATAACCATAAAAATAATAAAATGTTAAAAAAAATAGGGAACCATATTAATCGAACAACCTACTGACAAATTATACATACAACTAGCTCAAGGAATATAATACTTGTCTAGGCAAGGTTTATCTGAAAACGTTTGGTCTTTGCCCAAGCTTTATCTACATAACACATGGTAATTAAAAGTACGAGACTGGATGTCTAACAGCCATATTTTGAGGCCTATACTAATTTGGTCAGAGGGACATAAAAGACAGTTTTTGCTCCTTGCCCTCCTAGGTCAACTAAGCTCCAAGGACTATGAGCATGTCTCAAAATGTCCAGTAATTGTGGTGTGTCACCTGTCCTCCTGATCAAGGAGGCCATGGAGACCCCACCAAATGAACTTGAACCAGTGTCCAGTCTACAAAGAGGAGAGTCAACACAGAGGAAACATTTCCTCCATGCTTCCAAATGAAGCTAGTCACGGTCAAGCAGGACCTTTGACTTATCTTCACATTGATGGAACTGGTAAAAGAAAGGAGCCAGGGGCTCCTTCCAAGCCCATGTGACCCCTGACGAACAGATTCTCAAATAACCTCAAGAGTAAAAATAAATTCATTTATCTGCGCCACCACGCCCAGAAAATTCTAGAAATTTCTTTCTCTTAAGTTTTCACCCCTCTGTGAATGTCATGATTTTCAGTCGGAAAAATGTCTTCAATGAACACAGAATTTTGGTTAACATACTTTTGTTTTGTTTTCCTTCAACATTTGAGAAAATGTTCTCCCTTCTGGCTTCTACAGTTTTTGTACAAAATCTGCTTTTACTTGCATTGTTTCCACTTGTCAACAGGGGTGTCTTGCTGATTCCTAATTTTTCAGAAGTCTGAATACTATATATCAGTGTGGATTATATTTGAATTTACTTTTTGTGGCTTGTTAAGGTTCTTGTAGATTTAGGTCTTTATTTGTATTATGTCTTTCACCATATTTGCGACACTTTCAGTCATAATTCTTTCCTAGTTCTTTTCTCATCTTCATCAATTTCAATGACAGAGATGTTAGAATTAAGTTCTCTATGTCCCTGAGGCTCTGGCTCCATGCACCCCCGCTATTTTCGCTATTGCTCAGAGTAATTCTGTTGTCCTACTTCCAAGTTTTCTTGTTCTTTCATGTATGTGGACTCTGCTGCTGAGACTATTCCTTGAGGTTTTCATTTCAGTGATTCTAAACTGTATTGTCTGGTTCTGTTTTGTATTATTCACCTATGTTTTTCCTATAATTTTCTTCATTTTTTCTTAGATGTATTTTTTCCTTGTTTCAAGAATGTCTGTAGTTGCTTTGTGAATCACATTTATGATGGTTCCAAAACACTGTCAGATAATTCTAAAACTGTGTCTTCCTGGTGCTAGCATTTGTCTTCTCTTATTTCAATTGAGATTTTCCGCGTTCTGGTTATTATAAACCATTTTCCAACCAAATTTGGACACTACAGTCTATCTTTCATCACATCTGAACCTTGCTTTAATGTTCTGTTTTAGACGGCGTCCTCCGTCACTGTTCTGACGGTATGAAGGGGATGTAAAAGTGAAAACCAGATTTTCTACTATGCCACTTAATACCTGAGGTAGGGTGAGATCTTCGTTACTGCTGGACCAAAGTGTGATTTTTCGCAGTCCAGTAGACCTCCTTTGGTTATACCATGGCTGGGGAGGGCAGTGCCTCATTATTACTTCTTCTATGGCTTGCACCACCATCACTGTAGAAAGGACTTACACTTTTCAGTGGTGAACGTTCTGGCTTTACTATAATACCCCAGGAGGGAATGAGAGGGGTACCTCATTATACGAAGGGCAAGTTGACATCCAGAATCTCTATGTGTGTTTTGCAATATCTGGAGAGAGGGAGGTAGTTTATGATTGCCCTCAGAGATGAAAATCCCCCTTCTGGGCTTTCGATGGCACCACCTTAACTGGAGCCTAGAAAGTCTAGGCTTCCCATTCAGAATATGCTGGTGGAGATTAGACCGGTTTCTCCAGCACCCAATCAGAGATATATAAGTAACACAAAGAAAACAGAGTATTCATTCCATTTTTTTATTCTCTGACACAGAGTCTCATGTTCCAGGCTGGCCTTGAACTTGCTATGTATCTGAGCATGACCTTGGACTTCCGATCCTCCAGTCTCCATCTCTCAAGTACTGAGACTGTAGGCATGTGCCACCACATGAGGTTTATGAGGCACTGAAGATGGTACTCAGGGCTTCAGGCATGCTAGGCAAGTACTCTACCAACTGAGCTACATCCCCAGCCCCACATCTCTGTGGAGCTTCTTAGCACTCAAGTACCTTAGCTGGTCTGCCTTCTTTCCACCATTCAGGACCTCTTTTGTTTGATATTTAATGTGTAGGAATCTTAGCTGTGCTTAGTGGGAGGAAGAGGTAAAAGTACTTTTATTTAGCCTTTCTGTAAGTAGGACTATTGTAATTTAGTAATTATGATCTTTCTATCCTGAATTTGGAAAGATAAGTAACTTAAATTCAGTATATCTGAATTTAGTATTGATTCCTTAAACATTTTAAAAATATTTTATTTATTATTTTTATTTTATGTATATTGCCTGCATGTATGTGAGTGCACCCATGTCATGCAATGCCATGGAGGTCAGAAGAAGGCCTCAGATTCCGCTGGAACTGGCGTTAAGGACAGTTCATATTTGCCATGTGGATGCTTGAAATGGAACCCAGGTCCTCTGCAAGAGCAGTCAGTGCTCTTAACCACTGAGCCATCTCTCCAGCCCCGATTCCTTAAACATTTAGGGTGAAATATAGTTCAACTAAGCTCATACTGACCAATGGCTAGTTGGTAAAATGCTATCAAAATTTTTAGATGACTAAACATAGATCCTAAGCCACAAATTAAAGGCGGGAAAAACCCCAAACCACTACCAGATACAATTACCTAAGGGAAGAAAAACAATACAACATAAAATCTATCAGAGAATAAATCTAAGAAAGACAAAATTATACACTAGAGGAAAACTACTGAGAGTGTATTTCTGTCTAAGAATCTTCACACACATTAGGAAAGGTATTTACTAGTTGATTAAGAGAATACATATTTGCAAACAAGCATGTGAATCAGGAAATATTGTCTATCTCTAATAATGAAGGATATGTGGTAAGAAATCATGGAAAACAAACCAATTCTAAACCCAAACCAATTCTAAACCCAACTAGTCACATGATATTAAGTCCACGTCAATCATTTTGAAAATATTTTAAATTGAATTCCTCTCTCAATCTGCCTTTCTGATAGTTCTAGATTCTACTTTTGATCCCCTGCTTCTTTGCCATTTGTCAACTTCCAAGAAATAATGAGTGGAAATTTATGTGCTAAAATTTCAATATGGCTATGATATAAAGTTTTACAAGCACACTAAGGTGTAGTCTGTACTACCTGAACCTGTAGTCTATGGTGAAATTTTCATCTTAATTTCCTGGTTGTTTTGGGATCTCAAATGAAATTTGAAACAAAACAATCTGAAAGAATGAAAAACGATGACACATAGCAAAACTACTTAGAAAACTAAAAAGTACCTCTTCATCCAATTCTTTCATCATCTTGTCGAGTTTTATGTTCGAAGTTCTGTAAAAGCAAAAGCAATACAGATTAGAGGTAATTTCTTTATTGCCCAGTGCTGATCACCTACATTCTTTACTTAATCATTTCTTTTAAATGTAATTTTTAAAAAAATATTTTATTATTTTTATTGTATGTGTATGCGTGTATTGACTGCATGTATCTAAGTGCACCCACGTTGTGCAATGCCTGCAAAGGACAGAAGAGGCTGTCAGATCCCCTGGAACTGGAGTTACAGACAGTTGTTAGCTGCCATGTGGGTGCTGGGATTCAAACCAAGAACAACCAGTGTTCTTAACTACTGAGCCATCTCTCCAGCCCCTACTTATTCATTTCTTAATGTGCATGTGCGGGTATATGTGGGGGAGGGGGGAAGAAGAGGGAGAGGAAGAGGGAAA